ACTGGAGTTGACTGCCACGTCGCTTTGCTGAGATGACTCGGGGCTTCGGGGAACTTCAACGGAGGAGTCTTAACAGTAGTCTGATCCCACTCCGTGTTGAGAGTATTGTCCTCGGGTCTAACTAATTCCACCTCCTTCTGCTTGCCCGCTTGGACTGTGTCATCCCAATCCTCCTGACCGTCTTCCGCCTGCGATGAGGATTCTCTGGCCAAGAGATCTTCTCGCTCCATATCTTCACGGTTCCCTAGCTCCTCTTCTCTTCCTCGTTGCACAATGGTTAACCAATCGTCCGACATAATATGTAGGTGATCGTGATGATCTCTCAATCCACCATTGTGATGAGGGTAGTAAGCTAGCATATGTCTCAATTTGAGGTCCGGCGTGTCTAGTGATAGTAATCCATCACTGAGTTCAACGGTGGTAGAAGCAGGTGAGTAGGCCTCAATGGATCGAGGATTATTGAATTCCCTCTCATATTTCAAAAGAAAACTCCGTCCTAACACTATTCGACTGCGTAGGATTTCCCAAGCCATGAGTAGCTGCGCGACATCCCCACATCCTTGCAACAAGGGCAGGATAGCATCCTCTGGATCAATTCGAAAATATCGATTTCTCCCAGGGACTAAAGCAGCCACTTTCTGCAAGAAGTATTGCAACTCCCCCACCACTCTATCTACTCGTTTGAAGAATGTATCCTCCAACGCGAATCTCGAAACTCTCGCCGGCCGTTGTCGAGTGGAAATTTTATTTCCCTATAGAGCACCTGGATATATTGTTAATCGAGGTAACCCTATTTGTTGAGAATCCCCAAATGGAAATTTCCTTTCTAAGGATTCGGCGGTAGTTATCTGTTTCGGTAAGTCTGTCAGAAGCCAAGCAGCGTGCGAACACTTAACTAATTTAGGTGTTCAATACAGTTGCGGCAAGTCGGAATGCAGGCGTAGTATTACTAGCTGCAGTTAGATGCGGTAGCTTATAGATTCGCTTCAGCTGACTAATCAGCTGAAGTAAGCGGATGAATAAACGAATAAAGTTTATTCTGATAACTAAGTACAAAACTGGGGGTGCTAAAAAGCGAACTACAGAAGTCCAGCCGGTTCTTATATACTATTCTCTGTGACTCATTATGACTCATTCTGACTCAGTTCGATTGCCCATCACTTTCTCGCACTGACTCAATATGACTCATTTTGACTCCACCTTGATGATCAGTGTGATCCGATTATTTGATCCTATTTCCCACGATCCGACATTTTCCGCCCCAACTCGTGCAGTCTGATTTTCTTGGGTAACTTTATTTTAGCGTTACATCCGCGGCGGACGGATTGAATTTGACTGTCCTCAGTCATGCCCCAAGAAAATCAAACTGCAATAGGAATTTCTCATCTCATCATAGTACACAAATTATCGCTACTCTCTACCTTGCCCTCGCCTAAACCTCGACTTTTACCGTAACTGACTCGATCTTGTTGTTGTTGTGTTTGAAAGCTTTAAAAACAGTTCGCCCTAAGGCGCGGGCCCGAGTAGCCAGGGATGGTGGCACAACCTTCCAGGGTTCCGCTTGCACAAGCGAATAGTGACGAGTCTCCATGCTAATCCAAAGCATGATCGTCCACTGGCCTCGACGGTATTGCCAATCTGAAACTTTCCACTCTCCCACCATCGAACCAACGCACTCCACAATGCATCCCTCCTGGAGAGGATAGAACGGTTCGCTCAACATGTGGTTGATGAAAAGCCCGTTCTCCTGTTTAACAGCACGGAATGTGGCAACTTCGCGTCGAGCCATGGGTTTCTTGAGAAAAGTGGTGAGTGGAGGTGGAACACCACGTCGCAGAGTATTGAGAAACCCGTGGCGTGGTTGGAAGACTACCGTGTTATCCATGGACGCAAGAACTTCCTGGCTCTCGTCACTGGATCTAATATACGGCGGCAAATACGCGAATGGAACGATGTCAGTGGGCTTGTTCTCGACAGGAGCTTTTGGCTGTTCAATGTTCGCAGTCGATGTATTCTTGGGCAAGGATGAGGTTTCCACTCGAATCCGTCCACGTCTCTCCCGAGGAATTTCTTTGAGCTCTGGTGAGGGTCGGTGAATCATGGGTGCAGGAGCATCCTCAGAGGACAATGTCACAGCGTCGATGGCAGACTGAGCATAGGGATGGGCGATGATAGGGGTGGCATTGAAGTTCTGGATGCTGGCGCTTTCAGTTACGCCGCCGCAGTGATGATATTCGACAATGGCATGCATGTCCTGTCATAATGTTCATGAAGTCATGAGATTTTTGCCTACTTTCTGGCCAGCGTCGCCCTGTTAATATTTGCTCACCTCTTCATATTCGGCTGCCCCAGGTAGAGAAGGTACACTGTCATATCCGCGTTGGACATGAACGCTAGCGCGACTGACGTGGCCACTTTGATAATGAAGCATCTTTTTGTAGTGAAGATAATAGGCTAATGAGGAACTTTAGTGCAATCGAGTTAGAAGGGGGGGAGGAAAACAGGCGAAAAGGCGATTGTGCGTGGGGAATCCTCTTCTTATATTGCGGTCATCCAAATTTTTAAAAGTCCGCCATTGAATTGTAGGACCCTGCAGAGGTTGTTTTGAGAAGACGGAGATTCTTTGTTGGCTATTTTTGGTTGATTGCCTTAATTATCATCTTCCGATGACTCAAACAGTTCTTCGCCTTCTTCAATTGATTCCAAGTCACTATCTTCTTCCTGATCCATCCATCCAGTGCGCATGAACCAGTGATTGCGAGTAATGTAAGGCAAGAGTCGAAATGCTGCAGTAGGATTATGGCAAAACACTGTTCCATCAAGCTCCTTGAGAATGTAAGCGCCTCCTTTATTCTTCCTCTCTACCTCATATGGCCCAAAATAGCGATCAGCAGTCTTCCTTCTCGTGCTGACTTCCATTTCCAATCCCACGTTCCGCACTAGGACCAGTTCACCTCGTTTATATTCATCCTTTTGAAGTCTTTTCTTGAACCTCTTTTCAAACTGAGCTTTTGATCGGAAACGGGCTTTGCGCAAAGTTTCCGAGGCGCGTTTGACATCGCGTTCGTGTTTTGATAGCTGGCGGATTCGCAGAGTGAGTAGCTCAGCAGTAGTCATTCCTGATCGGAATCCATTTACCATAAAGGTTGCTTCAGTTAGGTCAGATGGCAACACCGGTGTGATGCGGACTGCGGTGCTTTAAACTGCCAGATGGTGGGGAGATCCGGGCTATGTTTAAATGCTCGTCCTCTAGGGGGAATTTGTTCTGTCGTGGTAGACAAGTACGTAGGGAGGTTAAAATATTATTGGTGGGGATATCCGTACAAGGATTCGAACAGTTAGTTCAAAATCCTACTAGCTAGGGTGGTCCAAGCGAACTCCGATGCCTAGTTAGCCTTCTCGGGTTAACGGAGATTGATTCTGTTCCACACTTCCTTGGGGAGGACCTTCGGAGGGCAATGTGGGGTCCAATTTGTCAAGTCCGAGGTGAGATATGGATTTGGGGGCTTCCTGGACCACGAACCACAGTCGTCCGAAGTATCTTTGAGTCGTAGATCGTAAGACCGGGGGATTTATGTGTTCGCGATAACGTTCCAGCAATTCCTCCTCCCTTTACCCCTCTTTGTGCCTCTACGGAGTTTCCTCTCTCTACTTCTCACCCGTTCGCTTGCTGAAGGCAACTTCCTGCGGGCTCTGCACCGCCAACTTCCTTAGCTAGCAGCTACACACGAACTCCGAAGACCTCGCTGTGCTGTTTGAGAGATTTCACTGCCCTACTTGCGTAGGGGAGGAATAAACGGTTCGATTTCTCCGGCGCTGAACTTTTTATGCCGAAATATAAACTCCGCTGTCTGACGGCGGCGGGGGAGTACCGGGGTCGCTTTACTGTGTAACTCGACTCCGGGTGACCTCTAGGTGATGTTCGGGGCGGATATTTAGCTACTCCTAAGCTGGCTAAGGCTTAGAAGGTGAGGATGTGGGCCGAAACTGAGATAATATTCTGGTAGACTAGCTGTAGTATTTATACCCCAGCCCAAGGCTGTGCCGGAGTTGTTCCTTTGTGTCCCATACCTGCTCGCTCGCACGCTCCTCCGCCCCAGAGTTCGTTTATGACTCATTCTAGAGCTCCGTGAACCCTTACCCGCACCGTCTTCAGTCCGGTACCGATTCCGCAACCCGGACTTGTTGGCCCTAGCCTCGGACACTCCATGTCCGGTCCTAGCTCCCTTCCTATCCGTTTCCGCCTGCGACGGCTCGATAGTGTAGTGGAAAAACGCACTCCGTATCCTTTCACCCCAGTGTTTGACTTACGGAGAGTCCGGAGTTCGATCCTCTGTCGGGCCTTTTCCCTACGTTACCCACCTTTTTGATCACCCGGAGTTCTCATTCCATCCTTTTGGGCCACTTGGTATTCACGACTCGATGGCGTAACTGTAACGCATCCTGCCATGGTTCTTGCACAAGCGCATCTTTTGCAGGAAGTCCGGAGTTCAATCCTCCGTCGAGCCATCCCTCTTTTCCATTTCTTTTTGTGCGCCTCTTACTAGACCTTCGTGTCGTTCGCACACATGGTCCGGTGGCGTAGCAGTAATGCACTCTGTTCGCGTAACTGGCAAGAAACTGAAATAATGGAGGGACCGGAGTTCGATTCTCCGACAGGCCCGTTCTTTTTGTCCAGAAGATAGGGCACGGTTTTGAACGGTTCAGTGGTGTAATGGTATCACACTCCGTATTCCTATGAAGTTCGCAGTATGCTTTACGGAGAGTTCGGAGTTCAATTCTCCGCTGAGCCATTATGAAGAAAACCCTTCTTTTTCATGACGATAGTTTTGGCTGGCCTTTCGATTCCTACGGCTCGGTGGCGTACTGGTATCTTACTCTGATCTAATGGATTTTTATATCGATTGACGGAAAGTCCGGAGTTCGATTCTCCGTCGAGCCATTCCGACGGAAACCCTTCTTTTTACGGTGATCGTCTTGGCTGGTCGTTCGACTCCTACGGCTTGATGGTGTAACGGTAACGCACTCCTATGCACATTTTTATAGCGATTGACGGAGAGTCCGGAGTTCAATTCTCTGTCGAGCCATGCTTGGGTCTGGATATGATTTTTGTCATGGTCCTTTGTGGCTTGGTAGCGTAGTGGTAATTGTCATTTTTGGTAGTCCGGTCATGGCTTGGTGGCGTAATGGTAACGCGCTCCATTATATTGGTCGATGGAAGGTTCGGAGTTCGATTCTCCGTCAAGCCATGTTGGGTCTGGATATGATTTTTGTCATGGTCCTTCGTGGCTTGGTAGCGCAGTGGTAATTGACATCTTTTTGGATAGTCCGGTCATGGCTTGGTGGCGTAATGGTAACGCGCTCCGTGTACCTGACGTTTTCATATCGGCTGATGGAGGGTTCGGAGTTCGATTCTCCGTCAAGCCATAACTTTTTACTCGGAGTCGGTCCTTTGTAGTCTTGAGTTCGATCCTCGAATGGCCTGTTGGTGTAATGGTAACGCATCCCGTGCACCTAAGTTGGGTCCGGGTATCATTTTTAGTCGAAGGCTTAAGGCGTTGTTCTCGGAGTTCGGTGTTTTGAGGTCACGTCGGGAGCTATCACAATGTGATGGCTCACACCGGATCAGCAGCATGTAGGAGCTGGAACAGAGAAAATCCCGTAACTCGGCTGACCGTCACTCGGTCAGCTAGAAGAGCTGTGGACAGCTTCTTGGGCCAAATTTCCATCTTTCCGCCGCAAGACTTCACAATAGCTTTGCGGATAGTATAATGCCCTTGTTCAACTACTCCGTTCGCATGCTTATTATAAGGTGAGATCCGAACATGAGGTACGCCCATATTTTTCATCAATTTTCTGAATCCTGCTTTCACTTCTGATCCATTGTCGGTCACCACCTTTCTAGGACACCCATATCTGCAGTAAATGCAGTCCCAGAAAAACGAGGCCAAATCATCAGCTGTTTTTGTCTTCAAAGCTCGAGCTTCGCATGCCCCTGATAAATCGTCACGGGTTGCTACAATCATTCGATATCCATGGGCTTCAGGCATAGTCATGATATTGATGTATACAGTCTGGAACAAGGCCACAGGTGTCGAGACTGTCACTGGTATTTCCAATTTCTTGGTGCTTCGGATTTGACATGTATGGCAGGAAGCTACATGATGTTCAATATCATTATGCAATTTCGGCCAAAAGAATCTTATTTTTAGTGTGTCCCACATGGTTTGTACTCCTCTATGTCCCATTTCATCATGGGCCTGAGTGAGAATTTTTAATCGAGCTCGCGGTTCCAGAATGACTACCAAAGGTGGGCCTTTGAGGTTGCGTCGTAAAAACTTGTCTCCATGCAACATATACCGTGTCGCTTGACTAATGAATTTCCTGTGTTTCTGGGAGTTTGAAAACGTAGATGCTTCCAGAGTTTTCAGGAAATGGCGAATGTCATGCAAGAGTTGCTCTTGGTCGCGCCGTATCAAATAGCATGATGGCATGGATTCCATTGGGTACGGCCATTTCTCTTCTGGCATACTAACTGCTAAAAGTGTGATTTCATCTAACCAACTATCATCATCACTCACAGCTTCTTCATCATCGTTTCATCCCCTTCTTGACAGCGCATCGGGTCCCTGAAATTTAGTGGCTGGCACATGAACCAGCGCAAAATGAAACATCAGTATTCCTTGGATCCAGCGATTCACTGCCGCATCAGGCTGCAAATCGGGATTATTCAGCAAGCCTTGAATGTACTTTGCATCCACTTCTACGGTAAGATTTTTAATTCCAATAATATAGAGCCGCCAATGACGAAGTGCCCGGTACAGACTGAACAACTCCAGCTTGGGTTGTGAATATCGGGATTCCCGTTCGCTCATTGGAATTGAACCATAACGTGCAGGCTGGCACTGTTCTTCTTCATCTATTTGTGCCAGAATCATGCCAGTTGCTTCTCGGCAAGAGTCTACTGATAAAATGCCTGCTTGTCGGACTGATAATCAATTGGTCGCAACGCGGGCGCGCTGGCTACCAAATTCTTGATTTGGGCAAAGGCAATTTGCCTTCGCTCATCCCATAAAAATTCTTGACGCCGACGATACAACTCTGTTAGGGGTCGTATGAGAAGTGAGTAATTCAGTATCCAAATCCTCACGGTCCCACATAGCCCAAGAAATCGCCGCACTTCCTGTGGGGTCTTGAGCGGAGGCCAATCAATTATAGCAGATACTTTCTTGGTATCGGGAATTCTTCCTTCTGGTGAGCAAATCTGTCCCACTATTAATGCTTGCTGACGGCAGCATTGCACTTTTGTAGCAGAGAAAGTCCCTCCTGCGCATTTTACCTTGTGCATTATCCGATGTACATCCTGTGCATGTTCCCAGATAAACCTGTGAACTCCCGGATTTTCGGCAAGAACTTCAGGGTTTCCTCCTGTGTCCAGATATCTTGATTTTGGACCTTTAATTGGCAGATCATCAATAAAAATATTAGCGATATGTGGAATTTCATCGTGCAGAATAAATACCATGCATTTCTGGAATTCAGCGGGAGAGTTCGTATAACCTGTAGGCATGGATGTTATTCTTAATAAACCTAGTGGTGTCATAAATGCTGTCATATCGTGGCTTTCTGGCTCCATTTTGCGAGTGTCAAAACCCCAATATAAATCAAACACAGTATAGCATTGACGTCCTGCAAAACCTTCCACAAAATCATCCACAATGGGCAACATCCCAGCATCCCGAACAGACACTCTATTTAGGGGCTGTAAATCATGCACAATGCGAAGTTTTCCGTTTTTCTTCAATACGCAGAACCATCGTGAACGGTAAGACGATTGACACATCTCGTATACGCCCGCTTCAATTTTTAATTTTAAAACATCAATCACCTTCTGCAGGATGCCGGGTGGTATAGGAATATTTTTGTATTCCCAAGGCACATGTGGCACTGTTGCAATTTTATATGGTGAAAAATATTCGTCCTTGAATGTGCCTCTCTCCATATCTTCGAACGCTAATGCTTCTTTGTTCAGTTCCATGACCCTTTCATAAATTCTCTCTTCTTCCGGACTAAGAAAACCATCTCTATTCGGTTCCAATAGTTTTAGTCGCTCCTGTGTTAAGCGCGTGGTGGGTTCAAA